GATCGCGAAACTCAACTATTAAAAAATCACTGGACTGTGATACACAAAGAAAAAACAGATTGTAAATAGTTTCATATTGTATCACTCAAAATTTCTTGAGCCTTTAGGGACTGCGCAATATTTATCAGGATTTATTTATTATTATTCCTGAATAAAGAGTTGTCACAAATTGTGGCACGCTTTTCTTGAGAGCTTTTCCAATCTGAAACCATTGATTTTTCAGTTTCCAATTAAAGTTCTAGTTAATTTTAGACATTGCACATTTAGCACATAAAATTATATGTTGCGACCCCCACCCCCCCTTGTGGATCTCTTGATTCTCAACCCCCCCTCCCTTCCCCCCCTCCTGATAAATATTGTGCGATCCCTTCGTAAAAAAGTCTGTTGTCAAGATGTCATACTTGCGCAAAATACTCATATCGTTTGCCCGGTCCTCAAGCAAACGGAACGTGCGTAACTGACCAGTATTCAACCGGAAAGCATTAAACAGAACAATAGCAAGAGCGTGATGTCTTGCGGTTTTGCATCGCAATTTGAGGTTCGTTAAACACGCGCTTACCCGGATAGGTAGGTTAAAGAAAATATTTTTACCGGATAAAGACAGCGTTTACTAAGAGGATTTTAGCTATTGTACAATCTTCTCGATATCGGATCCTATTATGGCTTGTACATCAGACCACAATTATTTTACACAGGAAAAAAGGCACTATGCACAACGTTGTTCATTTTCCCCAMTATTTCCTTCAATTATTTGTAGACAACTCTTTTAGCAATCTCCCTTGCACTATTTTATTCGACTACCTATGAAATTGGCGATGATGATCAATTTTTGCGTCTGGTACTGATTTTTTCTAACGTAAAAATATGATTGTTGCAGCTAGGATTCATGATAAAAACATATATGTAGTTGTCTCTAGCTTAGCTTTTTATTCAGACGTTTCGATCTGCTCTCAGATCTTCTTCTGCAAAAAAATGAATTCCGTTACAATTGTTTGCGCGCGTATATAGTAGAGTTGTTTTCTAACGTGTTCAAATGTAAGCGTTCTACAACGAATCTATCTTAAATGCAATGCCTTAAATAGACCTTATTATAAGCTATGGCTATAATGTCGAAATCTTGACTCAATTAAAGATAAGCAAATGATAGAAACAGTACGTGTTTAGTTTTCTGCCGACATTATCATGTCAATTTTCATTGGTGAATTCGACGCATGCCCAGTTAGGACCAACACGTAAGGTCACATGGTACAACTTGTCGCACATGAACTTAAGAGTTCGAGTCCATGACTGGTTGACATATACTTTTAAATATGTCTTTTGTTAAGAAGTCACATCTTTTCCAAAGGACAAAGGCTCTAAACTAGTCAGTGTTAGTTAGAAGAACAGAGTGAAAGTGGAATAATTTATTTACAGTCGATTTTTATAGCAAATTTAAGTAAACTATTACATCTTGATTACTTCAAGTTTTTGTCGGCCGTTGATTAGGATTTTCACTTTACTCACTAAATCCTCCTTCAAACTTAATATTCAGGATTTCATCATCATTCTATCTACAATGCTTTGAGAAGCACACAATAAAACCTCAGTACAGACGTATTCACGTCTTAAATCTGATATTCAAGATGTTTTCTCAAGCAAGTGGCTATTTTAGCATTTATATCTTAAAAGCTATTTGTACGCCTTCGCTCCAAGGGCTGATGACGTCACTGATAGGCGTAACTGCTGACCTAAGCACTCGATCGTGACCATGATAAATCAATATCATCGAAAATGGTCTGGGATCTTTATTGGAGTAAAAAKAGATACAAGATAATTAATTTAAGACATTCTGTAAAGGATACCGTAAAATATGGATCAGTTGAATACTTGTTTTAATAATCCAGTTTCGAATTCTCCAATGSTCTGTGTTAGCCTCATTTSTGCGCAAAATATTCCTAATGGTGAGAATAAAAGTGTGAGATTTTAAATCAATTCTMTTGTCTTTCTTTTCAAATTCCATGCGTTTTGTCGGGCTATCATTGAAACAAAAGAATATGTTGCTTGGTTTTGAGGCTAACACAGAGCAAACCAGAACTTGAAATCGGAGTATCGAACACGTGCAACTTGAGTTGCGTGAGAAATCACATTGCATTTATGACTGCACGTATTGCGTGTGATAATGCGAATGTTATGAACGTCTTAATTACATCTGTATACTTATCTTTGCGTGCATATGAGAACATGCGCAGTTCAGTTCAATTCTTCTAATTTTTTAAATTTCAATGTAGGAGACATCTTGAACCAAAAGCATGACTACCGTTCGTCGAGTGCTGATAACATATTAATCTTCAGATAACATATTAGTATATAGCTATTGTGAGACCGCAATACGCTGTTCTAACTTATAGATGTATTTAGTATTGATGCAGGCAATCTCATTAAAGAATCATAACCACCCGCCGTACCTTGCGAACCGAAGCGCCATTTTAGGTGGACACGAAAATGGCGGATTTTTAGGATTTCTTAAAGTGAGCGCGAATCGTCTTCCGTCCTTTCAGTTTGGACAGAAATACCTTTAACTAAGTACCTCACAGGTACAATCAATCTATAATTTATTGTATGCTTGACGCATTTAAACGTATGTAAACAATAATGCGAGCGCACAAGGTACGACGGGTGGTTATGATTCTTTAACGTTGTTCACTTGTAAAGACATAAAGACAAAAATAAAATCATTTGCACAAATTTTTTAAACAGAATGAAACTTCCTGGAAGGATAAAACTCAAAAATAAATAGAAAATCAAATGTTATTGACTTGATTGTACTAAACGTTTTGCAACTTAATGTCGAAAATTATTTCTTTTAAAAATAATAACTAAAATGTGATATATCAGTCAATTTCAATTTCAATGCTATTTTTCTTAAGTTTAGTATTACATATTTCCTGCGAATATTAAAAATCTTTTTATGCGTGTACCAATTTTTTAAAGACGATCGACAGTGCATTGGGGTCTTGGTGTATATATACTATATCTTCAGTCACAACATCAAGGGATAATTTTTCTTCTGAAAAGCCAAACGGTGAAAAATTGTGAAAATCCGCGTAACAACGGAACTATTCGTGAAAGAAAATTCGCAAAAAAGCACTATACATTTCACCGAAAAAAATCCCTTATCCAGCTGGGAAAAAATCGTTACAAAATCTAGTCCTAGGAGTGCATATTTTTATTCAACTTTTGAACAGCCTAATTAACCAAGGTGGATAGCAGAAAAGGACTTATCGAGTACAAAAAAGATTGTAAAGAGAAATTAAAATGGATTAATATGTATTATATCCGGTTATGTAGATGTTTTTCTTTGTACTAGGTCATTGTTTTAACATAAATTAGTATATTTTGTTGATTTGTAACGTCGAAGAATTTTTTCAACAAGGGGATGACATACATTTATTACCAAGGCTCCATGATTTATAATAAATTCTCTTCAAAGTGATTACATTTATATATATTTTTATACTATGGATTCAAATATAGATTTTATTGAAGTTTTTTTTAACGATATTATAAATATTTAATTAATGTCTTTTTATCAATTCATATTTTGTAATTCCTATATAATCGTTTTATATATATTCGTTCGTATACGCAGGTGATAATTATTTTAGTCAGGGCTCCTATTGATAGCGGCAGCCCTTTGGCTTCTGACGGGGCTACCCTGAGTTATAAATGGATTAATTTTAAATAAAGGCATCTATCTATCTATCATTTCTCTATTTATTCATGGCCATTGCCATCCACTAGCCTCAGTATTCTACCAGTAATATATAGCAAAACTGCCGAAACTGATCATATTGTAACGAGAGGTCAAAATCTTTAACCGGGTCGCGAAATTTAAGTCTCKCAGAAATTACTACGAAAATAAAATCATAACATCTATTAAAGAAAACAAAATAACCTTATTAATAAAGATAAACAAACTAACAACATAAAAGATATACTGTAATAATTTAAAAAATTTGGAATAGTTCGCAATATCTACGAATGTTATAAATAGCAACGAGTATGGATAGCAAACAGGTATCGAATGATCTAGCACCTTTTAAACGTCTAGCAGTTATCTGTGTTAATTAAATTARCAAGCGAGAGAAACCAGCTATGTGGATGACCATCTTTTCATCGCCCCAAGCGCCGCGCCGAACTGATGATAGCAGTTTTGCCAACAGTTTAACGAATGCTTCTGATTTTATAAAACTGTCAATAACAAATCGATCACAAAAATGTACTTCTTAAGCTGCACCCACAAGATTCCTTCATGACTTGTTGTGAGATAAACAATCCGAGGGAGCGTTTTCTTTCTAAACGTTCACAACGGTAGACCGGAACTTAGCAAGATGAAGTTATCAAGCACTAATGTCATTAATGAAGTATTTCTTGTCAAAACAAAAGAAAGTTATCTTCGGTGGCATTGAACTGAATTACCGTTCTCCTCAGAAAGATGTACTGCTTAGATAAGCGGTCATTGACGGTTTATCGCGAGTAATTATCTTAAAATGTTGCATTGATCCGAAAGCATCTTCTATCCTGCAGAGCAAAGGTTCTCTGGTCTGTTATATGGGAGTCATTTAGGGCTTTTGTAACAACAATGAAAGACAAGTAAACCCCTCCCATACGACAATAGGCAACCACTAGTGAAGATAAATCAGCCTGTGATTTGCATGAATGGCGAAGAACGGATCAGATAACATCATCTTCAAAATTAATCCGATTACCATCGGTTGACCATACATTTTCACAGATAACTTGAATTGATAACCTCAGGGCTGCTCTCTTTCATTGGCTCAAAATAGCAGGGTAAAGTGTGGTCTTGCAATCAGTCCATTCCCAGGCAACTCAAGCTCGATCAATATTTGTCATATGAATTTGCCATTTTCAATTCAACATCGAATCAACACAGTCTCGTCAGCGTATTTGAACAACAACGTATTAGCCAATGTTTGTGTTTCCCGTGGTGCTGTCTATTGAGTGTTGTACTCACCTCGTGATAATAAACGACCAGGCCTTGAATAAGTAAGTACTGACGGATACGACAGATCAATTCTGGATACGTAGTCGCAATTCTGACCATGAATTGGTGTTATTTGTGGGTTTTGCTCTGCGTATTGTCCATTTGTTTGCCAAGAGCAGAGCAGTGTTCGCCTCCAGAAGGTTGGTGGCCACTTGAGCCAGAGGAAAGAGCACAGAAAGCAGGAATTGTTGTTTATGGCACAGTTGTCTCTACTCCTCAGCGAAATAACAGTTCTACCGAGAAGGGACGGTTTTATGGAGTTATACTAAAAGTCCATTGCATCGTTAAAGGTCCAAAGCTGCCAGCGTTTATCCATGTGTCAGGATTTTCAAACTTTTCCGGCGGTTTGTGTGTGCACTCCAAAGCTTTTCTCAACAAATCCTACGTGATATTTATTAAAAGGGATACTGACATCCCAGAACAGTTTCGCGTTTTGGAAGTCAACCTCCAGAAAGGTGCAATGCACCCGGGACACAAACTTTCTGTGCTTCGTGATGTGATGTCGTTGGTTGGTGAAAATGCTTCATTGCCTTTGGGCTCGAAAGGTGACTCTAAACCCGGATGCCTTCACTTCAAGAGAAAGTTTCGAGACCCCACTTCTGTTAAATCTAAACACAACAAATCCTGTCGGTGCAGGAGGAAAAAACAGAAACGCAAGAAAAGGAAGAGAATTAAAGCTACGTCTCGTCCAAAGAACCGTCATTGCACGGACAACATCACTGATGTCCCAACTTTGCCGAGAACAAGACGGTACAATGTTGTAAATTTCGAAGAAGACAAGGTCCCAAGTGTAAACATTTTGCCACCTTCGCATAACGTGGTATCGTTCAGCTCAGACTCTCAACAACTGAACACACATTGCTTTTGGTGCCTGATGGTGTTCCAGGTCATCCTAACATCGCTATTACCAACATGAGACCTTGTTTATTCCGAACTGAACTTCAAGGTTTAAGAATATTATAGGAGCCATGTACGAGACGACCAGTTGAGCACACTTTCCGAGGTGATTGCTGTGACACTTAACTACCATAGTGCCATCATTAAGGGCCTACCACAAAAGTCTATTACAGACCGCAGTAACCATTATCGTAGCACTTATATCATAATATAAAAACGACGAATATTCAAAAGGCTTCCTGTCCCATGTACAGCTTTATAATATATTTGGGTTCTATATGCTGCTAGGTAGAGTACCAAGACATCAGCGCAAGAGCGAACTTGTTATATACCAAATCTTCTCTCTTTAAATACTGACTTAGACTAAGAGTATATAGTGCAAAGATACGACGAACAATTGTCCACGGAAAAATAACGTATGATTGCTAAAGGCTACAAGACCATTAAAGCGTTATACACCCACGCGTATTGAAAGACTGACACGTACAATTGGAAAGTAAAAAACAACTCGATGCACATCGTTGAATGATGTATTATCTTATATAAAACTAACAACAAAACATAATGAAGACAAGGAAGGAAAGCGACTTTGAAAAGGCCAAGTATATATATGCGGTTTGAGCCTATTCAGAAGACAAAGGGGTTAAAATCAATTGTACAAAAGCGTTCAGCATTGTTCGCAATTGTAAGTTCAAAAAACCTCGTAAGTGGTATGTAAATACTACCCTGAGATCAATTGATAAAACATTAAAAACCTCCTGTTCAAATTTCTATTATGTTAGGTAGCACCTCGAGTCGATTTCGGGGATTTACAGCTTACGTTTGAACGACCGGATACAGCATTTAAACTGTATATGTACAATTAGATTTGCCGCGTCACCAGCGCCAAAAGACTAGACCATCTGAATATCACTTAATTGTATTCCAAGATGAAAAACAAACTTAAGTTCAACTAGTTGTGATTGTACACTTTGATCGCGAATGTCAACCCTAACAAAAACATTCCTTGTATGTATAGAAACATCCTGGGACTAAAACCCCCTGTTAGGCAATCGCGTGAAGTTGATTGTTAATCCATCTAAGTATTGGAAGATTAGCACCACTGAAGATATGTCGATATGCATTACTGTGTATACAGTTGTGTAGCGGTATTCTTGCGGCCCAAAACCTAAGTCTAAATATGTTTTAAAAGGTACCAAAAGTTTCGCGATAACCCACTTGAAYGRGGTCATTAATGGYTTCAATCTGGTCAATTTTCGGTGCAGCTTTAATGAATTCTTTGCAAAGGGCTTTTTTTATAGATCTTTGTGGAAAGGCCATTAAGAGGGCTGTTCGTTGTGATTGTTGGAATRKAATATTTGTTTTGACGTCGCTTCTTGTAGCCTTAATGTCTCCCTGCGGGATATTCTTACATGTTTAACCTTTCATATTAAAGTATACTTGCTCATTGGCCTGGGTCGYATGATTCACGCGGGGATGCGAAAAAAACGCAAAACGAGCTCATGAATGAAACTGTTTAGACCATCTGTGTGCCATGCCTCTGAAATGAGATACGAGAGTTTAAAGTTATCTCGAGCCATGAGAGAAAACAGCTTTACCATCGCAGGCTGAGATGATTTTTCTTTTGTACTTCTTCGTCCAACACCGCGTGGAATACTATACTAGTTTCGGATCAGTCGGGTTCCTTAGCAGTCGGGGGCGAATCTCTAATGTTTATTTATTTGTAAAACCCTTTYTAATTCAATAAACTTACGTTCGCTTTCGGAAAACAATTGCCTTGACATCTCTAAGGAATTTTCTCGCTGATTCGGAAGGATATCACGACAAAAMCTTTGCATATCACGAGGATCAGAGCACATGTGGRAACATGAAAAACAGACGCGTGGGTCGGAAACAGCTCTAACAAATATCTCATGTRTTTATGGTGTATAGCTATTGCTGGGCTTAATCAAATTTTAATTAATGTGTAATCAAAGGTGTAGGCCGTCATATTTAGTGTACCAAAGAGATAAGACAAAACCCAAAGTCTGATTGTTGAACAGTACAAAACTATAGCCATGTTTGTGGACAGGTAATCTTAGTGTACATAACATAGCTTTTAATATAAAAGTGTTTATTAACATAAAAGGAAAACGCTCTTAACTTTGATCTCCTGAATCCAAAACGTTTTTAACCCTCTTATTTATATTGCTTAGAAAATCGTGTTTTTTTTTAACAAAACGATAGAAGAAGACCGAAAAAACGAGTTACTTTAGTCTGCCATAAAAACTTAGATAGCTGAACAACTTGGCTACAATGAACAGTAGTGTTTTATGAGGAATATATTGATTTGAATATTTTGTAAAATGCAAGTCAATGACTACAAGTTGGCACGCATTTGTTAGGGCACTAGGTACAGCTTACACTATCTCGCCATGGTAAGAATCATGACGTAAAGCTCTTTGTCATGTACACAAGCACCAAAAGATTTAATAGACAATGGATCTACATAATCCTCGCTCACCCTGAGAACTTGTTTTTTTGAAATCTAAAAATAGTCTTGAATAATTTCCAAAGTTTAATTCTACCTACGTCTTTCATTGTCAAAGTACGCCAGAACATAACAACAAAAGGTCCAAAAGGCTGGCATCATTCGATGATGCGAAAACAGGCTTTCAGATTCAGACTGCATGCAGAGGACTGCAAGAAGCGATAGGCACAGGGATCCCACTTTTTCTTACATAAGAACGCCAATAATAAATGCTATACATGGGCTGCCTGAGGGCCGGATTTACGAGGGGTGGATAATGTTACCAAACGGATAGATTTGTATGGGTTTTATCTNATGATTCACGCGGGGATGCGAAAAAAACGCAAAACGAGCTCATGAATGAAACTGTTTAGACCATCTGTGTGCCATGCCTCTGAAATGAGATACGAGAGTTTAAAGTTATCTCGAGCCATGAGAGAAAACAGCTTTACCATCGCAGGCTGAGATGATTTTTCTTTTGTACTTCTTCGTCCAACACCGCGTGGAATACTATACTAGTTTCGGATCAGTCGGGTTCCTTAGCAGTCGGGGGCGAATCTCTAATGTTTATTTATTTGTAAAACCCTTTYTAATTCAATAAACTTACGTTCGCTTTCGGAAAACAATTGCCTTGACATCTCTAAGGAATTTTCTCGCTGATTCGGAAGGATATCACGACAAAAMCTTTGCATATCACGAGGATCAGAGCACATGTGGRAACATGAAAAACAGACGCGTGGGTCGGAAACAGCTCTAACAAATATCTCATGTRTTTATGGTGTATAGCTATTGCTGGGCTTAATCAAATTTTAATTAATGTGTAATCAAAGGTGTAGGCCGTCATATTTAGTGTACCAAAGAGATAAGACAAAACCCAAAGTCTGATTGTTGAACAGTACAAAACTATAGCCATGTTTGTGGACAGGTAATCTTAGTGTACATAACATAGCTTTTAATATAAAAGTGTTTATTAACATAAAAGGAAAACGCTCTTAACTTTGATCTCCTGAATCCAAAACGTTTTTAACCCTCTTATTTATATTGCTTAGAAAATCGTGTTTTTTTTTAACAAAACGATAGAAGAAGACCGAAAAAACGAGTTACTTTAGTCTGCCATAAAAACTTAGATAGCTGAACAACTTGGCTACAATGAACAGTAGTGTTTTATGAGGARTATATTGATTTGAATATTTTGTAAAATGCAAGTCAATGACTACAAGTTGGCACGCATTTGTTAGGGCACTAGGTACAGCTTACACTATCTCGCCATGGTAAGAATCATGACGTAAAGCTCTTTGTCATGTACACAAGCACCAAAAGATTTAATAGACAATGGATCTACATAATCCTCGCTCACCCTGAGAACTTGTTTTTTTGAAATCTAAAAATAGTCTTGAATAATTTCCAAAGTTTAATTCTACCTACGTCTTTCATTGTCAAAGTACGCCAGAACATAACAACAAAAGGTCCAAAAGGCTGGCATCATTCGATGATGCGAAAACAGGCTTTCAGATTCAGACTGCATGCAGAGGACTGCAAGAAGCGATAGGCACAGGGATCCCACTTTTTCTTACATAAGAACGCCAATAATAAATGCTATACATGGGCTGCCTGAGGGCCGGATTTACGAGGGGTGGATAATGTTACCAAACGGATAGATTTGTATGGGTTTTATCTGATGGATATAAGGATTTGYCCATTGGATAGCTATATCATGCAGTGAATCACGCTTAATCAACTTTGCTCGAACCTGAGTGTTAGAAATTACCGCACGGTTACCGCACAGTTGCCGGACCTGGTCTTCACAATTTTTGTGAAGCAATGAGACACTAGAATTTGGTTACAGTACGATTACGGTTACAGTACAGTACCGTCCGTTTCCCACGCATACGAATTGACTCTATTTTTCATCATAACTAATCTTAATTGGAACTCAATATTTACCCCTTCAGTTTTGCCGCACTCAGACAGCTAACTCATTTTGACTCTTACAATTGTAAAGACACATTTGTGGGTGTCACCAATACCGCGGGCCGGTGTTGTATTAAACCTGAATAAAGTTATCCACTGGTTAAAGTGTGATCCATTCATGGATAAGGATTTTTAACGGTGCATAGCGCTTTTCATCCTTTGTAGCCATAAAAGCATTCATAGTATGGAAGTCCCAAATTTTTTACACATTTTATGCGTATAGCATTGGATATCATAGCATTCTCAAAGCATTGACCGCAATTTCATGTTTAGCGCATCCATGGACATCACAAACTTTCACCTTCAATACGCCTTCTTTTTGGACWCAGAAAAAAAGTTCAAGACTGCATTTCGATTGGAAAAACTCGTTTTTGAACGATTTAGATGTTTTTATTGTCACAAAGGCATTTTGAGATATGACTCAATTAACGATATTTATCGTTATGATCACGTTTAATATACAAATTCTTCTAATTCAGGCAATATTTCTCTCAGATATTAGAAATTTTAGAAGTAATGACAGATATGTAGGAACATACAGGAAGGATTTGGTCTTTGATTGATTATATGCCCGMTTTACATGTAGCTAATGTGTGAAATAGCTCAAATACAAACGGTTTTCCAAAATCTGCGAAAAGATATCTGACTAATCTCTTGCACATTACACTTATCATATTTTGTTTCACGGGTTTGATGCTATAAGCGCCCAAAACCCGTGAAWCACACAATCAAATACAMATACTTACTATACAACAGTCAAAAGGAAWACTATGAAGTTAGAGCTAGCGTATATTTTTTGATTTRTGGGCGCGGCAACGTGCAAGGGACGAAAGATGTGATCTTTGTTTAGACATTTATAAAATTCAAGTTTGTGATTTCCTTCCACCGTTGAGAGACAATTTTTTGATTTATTGAGTCTTATAAAAGGAACGGAAATTATGAAGAAAAATGATGACTTACACAAATTGCCGGCTAAGCCCATAGTTTGGTTCAGTGAACCGTAGTTGAGGCTTCGAGGAAATAAAAAAATACATTAAGATTATCAATTGTTCGTGTACAATTCTTGTGTACATGGTTACTCGAGCAAAATATCTACAGTCGGCCGTTGAATTTACCGAAACAGAGTTAAATCAACCTAATAAATAGGGGGCTTTCGCAGGACTAAGGAACTTTAGATTTGACAACGAGTACAAGATTGAGTACTAGTACGAGTTTTAAAATTGTCTTTAAGTGTGCTATTAATCATAAATTGCACATTCCTGTGAAAAGATTGAAACATCCGAAGAAATAAAAACACGAAATGGATTGAAATCCAGTATGTACAACACATTAAAAGGCTGTTTGAAAACTCGTACTCGTACTCGCACTCAATCTCGTACTCGTTAACAAATCTGAAGTTCCCTAATATGACCGAAAGGTGGCAAGGGATAGAAATGAGATTACACAGTAGCGGAGTTTACACCCCTTTTAATAAGTCCCGAGGTATTGTTTTCTCCGCACTTGACGTCAATTTTTTTTGAAATTTTTACAATACAAAAGGAATTCAAAAGAATAAATTTGATGTCAAGTGCGGAGAACATAATACTTCGAGACTTATTAAAAGGGTGTATAGCTCTATTTAAAGAGGTCACCGATAAACCATGGCTATCCGATTCTTTACTCTTTGTTGGCTTTATCACGCAGTTATGTACATTCGCACGTGCATACGTTACATTTTGACCGGTGAATTCTAACGCACGCCCCTTGGGCGGATCCGGCCAAAAATTTACAAAATATCCAAGTTAAGTATGGCCTCTTGACCTCAAAAACTCTTCGAAAAARGTCAGGCGTTTTGTCTTTTCCTTGATRTGATGCACTTCGGTCTGGCAATACACTATGYAGTATCAGGATTCARCGTTTTATGAMATWGYTGCATGCTGTTGTTTCAGTTGGCGTGCAGTCATATGCATGAMGGAAAAGTGAGATTTTTCAKTTTTAATGTCTTTAATAGTCGTAAACATATGCAGTCACCGATAAAAAGACTGTAACTGCATTAGATTATAAAAATTCACTGACTGAATTGAACAAATATGGCAACCTCTCTTTACTCCGACGAACGATTAACGTCCGAAACGTCAKTAAGTTATTTCACCTACGTTTTTACGGTGTTAAATTTATCTTTTTACTCAAATATGGCAACCGCCCATTCAGCGCTATTTTTCAACTTCATTTATGTCAAGGCCGCCATAATGAAGATGACGCAGCAAATTTCATCGTGCGCTTCTTTTGCACATTCATTCAACATGGCGGCGATTTCTTTATGCTTTGTATCGTTCAGACTTAGGCATTCTTGGTCTTGTTGTATCAGCACATCAAGGAACGTTCAAAACAAATCAGAGATACTTTATACCCCTTTTAGTAGCCATTTAAATCCCTAACACCGATCCTTAAGAAGATATYAATGCGAGATAACACTCTAGCCACAAACAACACGAGTTACCCACGYCTGGGCTCACATTGATATTAAAAGGTCATTGGCTGATATGAAGGACTCTTTGCGGCGTCTTTTCATCTGGAGKACACTCTTACATTTAGTGATAAAGCTAAATTCCTTTCATAGTATCGCAGTATCGCGATCCGGCAATCTATTGCTCCTGAATTATCTGAGATCAGAGACGTTAGTGAAAGGGTTATACATATCGCTTTCATACCCAAAATTGTTGCTCCGACTGCAAATAGACAACAATGGGAGCTGAAAACTGGGAGCAAATGAGAATATAATTCATTTTCGAATTCTCCAATGCTCTGTGTTAGCCTCATTTATGCGCAGAACATTCCTAACTGTGAGAATAAAAGTGTGAGATTTCAAATCAATTCCATTGTCTTTCTTTTCAAATTCCATGCGTTTTCACCAGAGCTCCTCTGCGTTTTCACAGGCTATCAATAAAACAAAAGAATATGTTACTTGGTTTTGAAGCTAACACAGAGCAAACCAGAACTCAAAATTGGAGTATTTCATTCGATRACGTCATGAACTTGTTCCCAGAATCCTTTTCGACTAAAAAGTCAGATTTAAAAGTGTTTTAGACCAACAATATTACGCACATAAAAAACTTTAGCCTACGATTCTTTCGGTGGGTTTAATAAGGAGCAATTAATAGAAATAATTTTAATCACAGGGTGAGGCATACAAATGAAGGCAAATTTAGACGATACGATCGACGCGTGCGACTTGTAGTATTTGACTCAAATGAGTTCCAAATCGCACCGACAATCGCACCATGTAAATGCCCCTACGACTTGCAAGCAGCAGTCGTACGCACCCTACGATTGTAGTAGGATTTTGAACCACGGCTTAAAATCCTACTTGTCGAAGGGAAATTCTATATTGCAACTCGCACGCGACGATGTAATCACGCCGTGCAAATCGGCTTTAAGATCACAGCGAGCCCGCATGATTAACTTTCAGCGGGGTCATATTGCTATCACACTAGAGTACAAACATTTAATGTGTGCAGCACTTTCCACTATTCACTACAAAATAGTGTTAATTAAACAATAGAAAGCAATAGAATCGGCATACTTTAGCAGTATTTAGTGGTATTTATGTTGCACAGTTTTAGTGTTTGTACTCTATTTTGAATCAGCAGAACGAAATTCTTCACGCGCTTACACTTAATCAAAACGCTCACAGTTCTAAAGTTACATTAAATTTTATTTTCAATTTAGCTTCATTTAATATAATACAACTTCTTGAAAACATCTCTACTTTTCACGGACACTTTCATTCGATAGGCACAAGCCAGGAACAAACATTTGATTTTCAAGGACTATTTTTAAGATATTTCCGGATACGATTTTTAAATGACGCTCTTATTTCAATAGATTCAATCATTTGTCCGACTTATGGGGGTTACTGCATACTCGACACGGACTCATAAAACTGGCTACTTCCTTTCGTTTCATAGAGGTGCCGTTAACTGAAATGGCCTCCTGAGCTTCAATGATTTGACGAGAATTGCCTTATGGCATAACTACGTCACATCAAAACATTAAATTGTTCCGACGCTAAGAGTCATGGTCGCCAGTGGGGGAGGGATGGTGGTGAGGGAGAGGGGGRCGGGCTTGGAAGAATGACTGCATACCAAAGAAAATGTACACGAGCAGTCATTGATAGACGGTATATATCAAAACTAGATAATTTAAAAGAGAGAATATCAAGAGGTCCAAATGTCGCTTTTTCGGAGAATTTATTCCYAYTCAKTAAACATGCYGTGACGTCATTATGCGATAGGGGCATTTAAGCATTGCATGTTTGATTTAAGCTSTCAGGAAAGCCATCCAGAGGCGCRRTTCAAACATTTGGTATTCTAACTTGGCTATCTGTCGGGTTTGTGTGCAGTCGTTACGACGCAGTCTCTTCGTTTGAATCTGTAGGAGTTCGGGTTGCTAGGTGACTGTTGAAACGCCACCCGTTGCCATGACGATGAAACACCTGATAAAATATTCTGTAGTTAGTCAAAAGCTGAGAATAACAGAGATATAAAGTATATAGTCCTTATATACTTATACTTATACTTATACTTATAGTCCTTATAGTCCTTATAGTATTTGTGTAAAAAGGTTACGAAAACGTGATCCCTGAACTTCAAAATTACGGTGATCCCTCAGTGGTCCCACACATCTAATAAGACATTACGCATAGCGGGCTTTAAGTTTGAGAGTTCTGACCTATCAAAGGGCCATTACCAACCGAGCAAAGTAAACGTACCGAAAAAAAAGCTAAGTGTGATGTATTTTACCTTTGTTTTCCATTCTTCGCCTGACTCGGATCTTTCCCTCGCTTCTCGTCTTTGTCGTTCTTCTAACTGTCATGGAAAGAATTCAATTACAATTATTACGCCCATGTGCGATAAATCAAGAAAGACGAATAACTACTTACACTGTGCTTTGCTTCAGTAGCAGTCTTTATATTTTTAGTTTTAAGGGCGTCCGTGACGGGTTTCCAAAGCTTGCGTGACTCGTAATCGTGTTGCTTGGCAACAGGTCGGACTCTCTTGTGGTACACTTTTARAGCCTTTGTATCGATCACTGAGGGAGTTTCCTGAAATAATAATAACGAACACTTTAAAAACTTGAATCCACTGACACTTTAATTAATATCATGGGAGAATCTACGTAGCACTCAGTTGATGTAATATATTCATAAAGATATAATACAAAACACATAATACAATAGAACGAGAAACGATGGAATACAATACATTTCATGAATACATTACATCAACTGCGTGCTACGTAGGTCACCCCTTAATATCATACTCCGTTTTACAGTTCGCACCGCCATCTTGAAATGTAACCGAGCCTTTGCATCAAAGCGAGACGGCAGTTGAAATTATAGACACTTGTAAATAATAGCCGTCTTCACCCTGCGCCATCTTGAAAGGTAGTCGTGCCTTTGCATCGAAGCGAGAAAACGGTTGAGCGTGTAATGATAGAAACCTTCTTTCACACCTACAGACAATTATTCACAGGTATCTATCATTGCACGATCAACGGTTGTCTCGCTTCGATGCAAAGGCTAGGCTACCTTTCAGGATGGCGCAGGGAGCAGTGAAGAAGACTATTGTCGTAGGTGTGAACAGAGATCTGTCACTACAGGTTCGACTCCTGACTCCTTTTGATTCAAAAGCTTAGCTACCCTTCTTCTTCTTCCTGGTACCCCGTCTCTTTCTAACTAGAAAATCCTTACCTTTCAAGATGGCGCCCGGAACTAGTGGCGTACTTAAGCATTAAACGATAGCTTGAAGCGGTTTACTGGAAAAATAAACCGCTTGGGATGGTTGGGGGAACACGAGAAATTATCTATAAATTACGAGCCGCTTTTATATTATAGCAGAAAATTTGGAAACTTTGGGCGGCATACTCCATTTAGACTCAAACGTCTTTCAAGACAGCACCCTGGTTTACCGGCGAAATAAACCATAGCTTTTCTTATGAAATCCACCAATCAGCGCTCGTGTTAGAATTTAGCTAAAGACCCCTTGCAGTTCGTGGGAATGCAATTCCAACTGGAGGACAAATGAATAGATTCTAGTTCCCAAGAGGGAAAAGATCTTTTGTTTTGTCCTCCAGATAAAGCTGCTTTGATGTCACATGCAAGGGGCCTATAACATAAATCATTATGCACTTCGTCAAGCCAAAAATGATGGCATAGGGAAGAGGGACCACATTCACCTACCTGGTTACTAGTATACAAAAATTCAATCTTTCCATTCCATTCGCCATTAACTTTGCAGATAACCTTGGCAGTAGCGGTATTCTTTACYTCACCAGTAACACGATGTAGCTTGCCACCATAGAATGGTTTGGTATGGAAGGTTACTGACGCGTTGTAGCCCGTCTTARCGCACGTGATGTGAACTTTCCCTCCAAGTTCGACCCAGGGAAACGTTAAAATTGATCTGATAATTATAAATATTAATAATGATTAATGATAGAACWAGGTGGTTGATGGTGGTTGAGTGCAAACACTATAAAAGCATTAAAAAATGATTTGATTGCTAAAATGTAAAAGTGTTAAATGTTAAAATATTAAATATTAAATGTTAATTGCTAAAATGTTTTAATTGCTAAGAAAAGGCAAAAAGTTGTCGCCTTTCGCTATTCGAGGACTATTGAAAATAGACCCAGAGTAGCGTAGCCAATCAGAATGTAGCAATTGCAATAATAGTCCACTAGTATGGTATAGTGTAGATCAGACAATAGAGAACAAAAGCACTCGACCAATTCACTGCAATTTAGTACTATTTAATAATTTAAGTGCTTTCATCCCCTAGATATCCTATAATTTCTTCTAAATTCAAGATGGCGACCGTTTTAATGACAAGGTCTATAATACTATAGTATTCTTCGTCTTCACTACACGTCACAGCGGCCATCTTGGATGAACTTCAACAAARGATTTCTCATTAGYATCTATTGTTCATTCCTCCAACATGGCCGCCGCTCTTTTATCTTTTGAATCTCATGGGAATGATTGAAARYAAGCAATAGTGATGGTACTGAGTGAGTATTTTCCAATCGYACCTGCAGTAAGCATTAGGAAACGTAAAATGATAGTCTTCGCCTTTATCTAACAACGATATAATTGCTGAAAAACATAGATGTCATCGATTAGACAGAAGTTTGCAGACAACTGTTTCCAACTGTTAAATGGAGTACAGTGGCGACTTGGGTACAGGAGTAGGGCTCACCTTCRCCGATATTATTCACTCCTATGGACATTCCATAAAACCTGGACTTTGTCCATATATGGGCATTRAAACATATTTTCTTGTGAGGGCATTCGGCGTAAAAACAAGACACTGAAAAGAATAGAAAAAGACATCGTTACACGCAACCCGTGAAATAGTAAGTAGATACTAAACCCGTGAAATAGTAACTAGACTATTAGTTTGTAGCAGTTTAAATTTGTTTGAACTGGAGTACCAATAATCAGACAGTTTACGTCACAGTTTTTTTGCGTTAGAATATTCACGCACCTGGAGGGTGGTGGGATACTTGTTCAGCGTAAAACCGAACCTCTCGATTATCTTCGTTAGCTGGTACATCATTGGCTGCATTAAGAGGGTTCCGCTCTATCCCCGTGCTACATTCTTCTCTCACGTCGAAAGAGCAGTTAAATGTTTCTCCTAGTATGGGATTGTACGGCTTCTTGGCTAGCGCACCCTGTAACGAAACGTGAAATGAAGGGATGGACAAATAAACCGACCGACC